CAGTAATTCGTAAAGGAGTAAAGGGTAACTTACATAAAGGGTGTTGCAGACACCAGAATAGCAATGGTCTATGTTACCGTAGCCGTAGTTGCAGGTTTCATGAAAGATGTTGGGAGTCACCCTCTGATCACGAGACACAAGTGCACCTCTATCGTTCGTTACTCTTTACACCTGTGCTCACACATAACGCCCGGTATTCCGAGTGTGCGTGCACCATGACGTATTGTGAAACTCTTGTCCGTAAGTTGAGTGTGCTGTGTGCATAACGTAAAAAAAAATTCGACCGAAATAGTCGCAGCTGAGCGACGCACGATTGCGGCTCACGACCTTTTTCAAAGCCGCCGCAAAGATTTCTACTACATGCTGAAATAAGGGACAAGGCCACGATCACAACATGTGCTAAATAATGATATCATTCGCATTGCAATATACGTATACGGTGTCAAGAAGCAAATAAGAAGCATGAGACATTTAATTTTATCAGTCGAAGTTATTTTTGTTATCGGTAGAAATAAAAAATTCTACATTTATATAATATTTTGTGCTTCTTGAAATACACGTAAAAAGATTTCTTAGTGTAAGAAGATTCGAGTTATTTAAATAGGTTTTTGTATTGTTATATTATTAACAGAAAGTTTTTCATTTTACGAAGAAAATAAATTGGCAGGAGAAAATGTTGTAAAACTTAAATCTATGTTCTTTATCTATCTTTTATCATATTTATCATTTCTTACGCTAATGATATATAATATTATAATAAAATTATAAACACTATTTTTAATATTTAAATTAATTTTTTTTAATTTTTTTAAATTTCTTTTAAATCAGAATTTAGATTTTTTTCAGGTGTGATATGACTGTACGTTCATTAAACGTAAAAAATCTTTATAACAAATTTCCTATATTTAATGTCGTGTTTAGCTTTCAAATCGGAAAGTCTCTCTAAGAGAAGACGTAGGAGAGCAAAGGCAGATGTTGGATTTCTTTCATCATTTTCGTTGCACGCCCTTAAACGCGGAAAATAAATCCATGTATTGCAGCTGCTTGAAGGGCGCACATCATTGAGAACTTTAGCTCCGTTAGGTACTACAACCTACATTTTGTTTAATTAAAGCTTCAGCTGTGCAATTTGATTAAAATTATAATTATATAATAAAAATAATAAAAATTGCGTAATAAGAATGTAATCCTGTTTTAAATAGGCCAGTTTTGAATTATATATATATATATATATATATATACAGTAATATTAAATAATCTTGATTAAATTAATAGCTTTAAAATTCTTTTTCAATAATATGTTTAATTACTTTTTTTAATCAGATTATTATTTAATGAGTTGCTTTACGTCTTCTGTTATTTCATCGAAATAGCAAATTCTATCCCGTTGAATGAGATTTAAATTTCCATAAATAAATTATTACGTTCTATTTCGAGAATTGTTTTATATCTTTTATTAGAATTTATATAACAAAACAATTTTATCAAAATGCAGTCAATTATTTTGACAAATTTTCAGTAGTAGAAAATATAGTTTTTAATACTTTCCAAGTTTTCGTATGCTAAAAGAAAACAGATTTTGCTCGACAAGAAAGCTCTCTCGTCTGAAAGATATGTCAGATTCCGTGGTAAACTTCTCTCGGTCTCAGCAGATGTACGAGCATTTGCCTCGGCAGCTGCTTCTCTCACTACCGTAAACTTCTGATATCCATCCCGGCTTTTCGTTTCGAATTGACCTGAACTCTTTATCGTCTCGGCAACGTCATCTAACATCTACAAAAATCGTAACGATCTTTAGATTATGAGCGTCGATGTAAATTTCTCTGATACAGCTCAGAAATCGAGTTCGAGTCATCCTCTCAAACGATGCGTAATCATGTGAAAAACCGGTTTTGCTTCGTCGATTTAACTTCGAGCGGAAGCCGATGATCGGGGTACTATAAAGTCTAACTATATCCCTGAGACTTTCACAAGGTAGGGAGAAGGAAACAACTTGGGTCCGACTTGGAGCCAAGGCATTCATGTTAGAGGAAAGAGGAGGGATTTTTATTTGGCTGATTTCAAGTGAGAGGGCTGTCTTTTCCTACATACAATGAAGTTCCTGAAATTGTATATAAAATATATATAATGTATATATAATCGGAAAAAATATTCATTTAATCAAAGAAGTTTTATAGAATTTTTAATTAAATTTAATTTTGATTGTAAAATTCAATTTTAAATTTTATTAATTTGTTGTACAATTCAAGAAATAAAAAGCATATATCTATACAGCTTGTATACCAAAAAATTAATAAACATTAAAATTGAATATACATACGTTATGCATT